CAGCACCTGCGCCGGCCCAGCCCGCAGGAGTGGGACCGGGAGGCCCCGGGGCATCTTGCCTGCCGGAGACCCCTGGCCCCGCCCGAGGTGCCCGGCAGTCGCCAGAAAGGAAACCGCCGAGGCCGCCCAAACGCCGACCGTGGGATCCCAGCCCCACCCAGCGTGACCCGTTAGTGCCGCAGAGGCCGTCCCCCTCCCACCGCGTCCCCGCCCCAGGCCTGGAACCTCCTTGACCATCTTAGTAAGAACCAGAGCCTTCCAGCCTGACTGTTTCCTCGGCTAGGCTCCTGGTGGCCAGCGACAGATGTGAGTGCTTAAGCAAGCAGTGGCATTTGGAAGGTCAAGGCGAGGCCCCATAATTGTGGGGAGGCTGTACGACCAGACTTGGAAAGTGAGCAGAGGGACTCCGGAGGCCCGGCCTCAGGAGCACCCGGCCAGAACAAGACCACTCCAGCAGACAGCCCCGTGCCCGGCTTGAATCTAACCATCCCTCCTCTCTGCATCACGTGCTGAAGAAGGAAGAGCCCCCGCAGGAGCCAGAACCCTGTCCTACTGGGTGCAGACCTAGGGGAAGAGCTCTCAGAGTGGAAAGCGAGGTAAGCCCAGACACCAAGGGCCACGTGCTTACTGCCACTGTGCGCGCCACTCTGCAAACCCTTTCGCCCCACCTCATCTCGCCTCCCCAACTGACCCTTTGGACAGAGAGGATAAAGGTCTTGAAAGAACCACAAACCATAAGGAGGGGGGCTTCCTGGAGGGGGTGCGGCTTGATCCAGGCCCTGCTAGATGGGAATGGTTTGGATAAGAAGAAAAAGGGGCAGGGCAGCCCAGGTAAGGGAGTGGCCAGGGGTATGCAGGGAGGTGGGAGTAGAAATGAGGGGAAGATGAAGGAGGTGGGTCTCAGGGTTCTGGCTGGGCTGGAGGTCAAGGTGGGAAAGGAAGTTGAAAGGTGGGAAAGGAAGTTGAAAGGCACAAAACCAAAATATAAGAAGAGAGAGACAGAGAAGTGGACAGGGACCTGAAGCAAGAGGGCTGGGCAAGGAGGGATGATGGCACAGGCTGCAAGGACAGGAGGGCCAGGATGCATGGGGGGATGGAGCACAAGGGCAGGAGAAAGGAGCAGGAAGAATAAGAGAGGACCAGGAAGTGTTGCTTCCGAGATGGAGCAGAAGACCACAGCCTCCACCTCCAGTGCCCTCTGTCTTGCTGCTTTTTTCCACCTTGAGTCTCTTGCTCTAGGAGAAGTCAGCTGCCCTTTGGAGAGACCCGCATGGCTGGGAATTGGTGCCCGAAACCTATGGCTCCTCCAGACCCAGTCACGCTAGAATGACTGCAGCCCAGGACTCGTGAATCCTAGATTCCTGACCCTCAGAAACTGAAACAGAGGAACAATGTCCATACTTCTAAGCTTCTAAGTTTTGGGTGTAATTACTTACACAGCCATAGATATCTAGTAGGCTGTGACCTTGAGGAATCACTGTATTAGCCCTGGACTGCTTATCTCAAGACTTATTTTAAATGAGAGAGAAAAATAATTTCTATCATGTTTAAGCCATGAAAAGTTGAAAATTTTTGTTCTGTTTTGTTTTCTATTTCTTACAACAGACCCTAATATTAAATTACTGGATAAAAAAGACTAGAAATAACAGTGGTGTGGGAAATTAGGTTCCTGTTCTCTGTCTGTCATCTAGCTTTGGCTTCCACTTTCCACATGTCACCTCATAGTCCAAGATAGCTGCTGGAGCTTCAGAAATCATATCCCAAGTTCCAGGCAGTAGGAAGAAGGAAGGACGGAAGAATAAAAGGTCTTTCTTTCCCACCTGACAACTCTTTTTAAGGAGTCTTCTTGGACGCCTCTTCCACACTTCCACTTCCGAGGCCAAACTGGGACACAGGGAAGTGGGGACATGTACTTCTTCAGCTGGGCATATTGCCCCCTTGAATAAAATTAGGGTTCTACTAATGCAATATGTGGATCTTATGTTTGGGGAGTCTGTTGGAGCAAGTCAGCTCTTTAAAAAATTGTGAGACAGTTGGGGAAATTTGAACAGTGAATGGATATATGATGATATTAAGAAATTATTGTTTTTATAGGTGAGAAAAATATTGTGTTTTATATTGTACTGTATATAGATATATATGGTCAAAGACTACCTTTTTGAAATATGTACTGAATTTATGGATGAAATAATATGATATTTGGCTGTGTTTCAAAATAACTCAATGGTGGGAGGGGTATAATAGATGAAGCAGGATTAGCTCTGTGTTAATTGCTGAAACTGAGTGATGATGGGTACATAGGAGTTCGTTATACCATTCTCTCTACCATTCTCTATAGGTTATACATTTTTCATGACAGAAAATTTTTTAAAGTTCTGCTATTAAATAAGAGAATTGAGATTTGTATTTTAAAAATTGGAGTTCTAAAACATTGGAGTAAGGAATAGGGGAGGTTAGCTCTGGGAACACACAGAGCAGTCTCTGCCAGTCCTAGCAGCCTTGCTCAATTCCTCACTGGCAGAGAAGGCCTGAATGGCCTATGATCTGATGTCCCTGTGGGCCGTGATACCAGCTAGACACCTTGATTGCCGAGTACTTACTGGATCCTGCTGTGTTCCCAGATTTGCATTATGGGTCAGGGAGGAAAAGGGTATAACTAAAGGTCTATGATACTCAGGCCCTGATCCCAAGCAACTTATAATTTATTTCAGCATACAGTGCCAACACAAGACACCTATGCTCCATGTAGTCACTCCAAGATAGGAGAAAAATAGGTGGGAAATTGTTCCATGTGTGTTCCTTCAGCAAGAAGGATGAGGACAAGGTGTGCAGGGGGGCTGCATGGAGATGGAGGTGGGGATGAACTGGTCCTTGATTTGACCTGATCAGGAGAGAAAGCCCATCTGGTGAGAGGAGCATGAGATCAGGAGACCTTACTCAACCTCGCCACCAACTGCATGTCTAAGGGGGCTGAGGGCAGCTACAGGCTGTGCCTGTTTCTGACCCTGGCAAAGGAGTTAGTTCTTAAGGATTAAAAGTCAAGCCACAAAATCTCCCCGTTAATTATGATAATAGTAACAATAGCAACAACAGCGAATGTTTTAAGATTCCAGGCATCAAGCTCAGGGTTTAATTTACATCAAGGCTGTGAGGCTGGTGTGAAGACACCACAGTGGACACCTGTTACTCTTGCCTGCCCAGCATCTGTTCCTTCTTCTTCTGGTATCAGTGCCGCTATGCTGTTTCAAAATTACCCCTCCTCACTCACTCTCGTCCTTGGGGTTTTTGGAGGCTGACACCCCCTTCCACTCCCTCCAGTGGTGGCCCCCTTTGACCCTGCCAGCAAGTCAGATGCCCTACCCTGAGTTCAGTGAAGAGCCAGTGGCTGGTACTTCTGCTGACACCACTGGGGAGGAGGTCGTTTTCCCTCTGGGGTTGCTAAGCTGGCAGGAGGTGAGCCTGAGGCAGGGCTGGGAGAACCTCCTCCCTGAACTTTCCCTCTAGATGAGAATGTCAAAGCCCTTTTTTATTAAAGCCTGTTAATCTGTCTCTCTGTCATTTGCAATCAAGAATCTTGACTAATATGCACCTCCAGTATTCAGGTGGGGAACTAGAAGGTGTAGTTATACGCTCAAGGTTAGAATTTATAATAGCCATACCCTGGGCCTTAGAAGACAGACTTCCAAAAGTACAGATGAAAGAATAGATTTATCCCAGAGCCTTAAGTAGAAGATGATGGCCTCCAGTTAAGATGACCAATTGACCATACAGGTAACCCCAGTCCTTACCAAATCCCCCAGTGCTTGGTGGCTCCAGGTTCCTTTGATCTTGAGGGTGAAGGAAGGGCTGCAATAGGAAAAGAGAGGTTCAAAGTTTATGTGTTGGTCACCTAGATCTCCTGCCAATTCTGTGCAGCCAGAGCACTGATCCTCTTCCAACTAAGCAACCAGAAGATTTTGCTACAGAAGAGCAGACCAGAGGTATACAAGCAAAAACCAAGGGGAAGTTGCCATATCAAAAAACAGGGTTTAAAGTGAAAGTTAACATCCTGAACAGTGTGACCTCAACCTCCTTCCCCCATCCAGCCCCCAAAAGCCTGGCAGCCAAGCTTATTCCATCCAGGCAGGAAGTGGAAGGATTTCTGTATAAGCACTCTTACCAACTCAAGAGGAAGGAGTTTCCCAAGGAAATGGTCCAGTTAGACCACAGCTGGTGAAGGCCACAGATGTCAAGCTCATCTATGCACTCAGAGCTTCTAATCAGCTTTTTAATGTCCCTCTTTGAAATACAAATTGAACAAGGTCCAACCATATGCTACCTACAGGAGACACATTTTAGATTCAAAGATACAAATAGGTTGAAAACAAACAACAAAAAAAATGAATCATGCAAGCAGCAACCATAAGAAAGCTAGAGTGACTGTATTAATATGAGATAAAGTAGACTTGGAAACAAAATTTATTACTAGAGGTAATTGCTACTCATTATAATGTTAAAAGTGTCAATCCATCAGGAAGATACAACATGAAGAAAAAAATGGACAGAATTGAAAGAAGAAATGGACAAATTAACTGTAAAGTTGGTGACTTCAGTACCTCATTTTCAATAATGGATAGATCAAGTAGGCAGAAGATCAACCAGGAAATGGAACACTTGAGCAACACTGTAAACCAGCTAGACCTAAAAGACATCGATGGAACAGCCCACCCGACAGCAGCAGAATACATATTCTTCCCAAATGCATGTGGAGCGTCCTCAAGGATGGGTCACGTTAGGGCATAAAACAGGCCTAAATAAATTTGAAAGAATTGAAATTGTATAAAGTATGTTCTCTGATCACAACAGAGTGAATTTAAAAATAAATAACAGAAAGAAATTTGGGAAATTGATAAATATGTGAAAATTAAACGATACACTCCTAATTAGCCAATTGACCAGGGAAATTAAGAAATACTTTAAAATGAAGGAACATAATTTGTAGATAAACATGCCAAAACTTAAAGGATGCAGCTAAAGCAGTGCTTAGAGGAAAAGTTATACATTCAAAAAAAAAAAAAAAGACAGTTAAACACAGATAATTCTCCTGGAGAAATGAACAATTATTGGTGGGTCCTCTTACACAATGTTCCAATATGACATGGAAAAGACACTCAGCCATTCTTTCATCTTATTTCCGTGTTTTGGATAATTTGTCTTTACACTCATTATTTCATTTGTATCAATATAGTTGAATGTGTTACTGAAATGAAAAATACTGTTTTAAAAAAGGCGTAGTATTTCTTCAATGTGCTTGTGTGTTCCAAACTCTAATGTTTGGTTTTAGGGAATGCTTATAAAGAACCTTGTATTAGAAAATCAGAAATAATGCCATTAATTTTGTTAGACATCAAGACCAAACTTTTTCAATAATTTTAATGAAAGAGAAAAGCATAAGAACTAGTCTGCCAGCTGGCAAATAATTTTATTTTTGCTTAAAGGAAGAGAAAATATTAAAAACTTTATTAGATGAAATTAAAGGATTCTCATTGGAATATTATTTTCAAGTAATAGTTTATGATGACTTGATAAGACAGTGTTTTTTTAAAATACATTTTGAATAAAGCACACTTTAATTTGGGGGAAAAAAGTCATGTACAATTTTTTAAAATGGGTTTTGGCCAGTCTGTCTTGAAAGAATATGCTATCCCTCCCCGCCCCCCAAATCCTACAATCCCAGTTAGAAGAATCAGTGTTACTAACTTACATTGCTTCAGTTCTTTTAAGGAGATGTTCTCAGACAATAATTTATGAAGAGATACTGAGACTAGGCTAAAAATAATTCCTTACATTTAAATGTGGTGGGTTGTGGGGAGCCATTTATTGTATTCAGTATTTGATACTAATGCTGGCTTTGTCTTTGCCTCACAGGACTTTGTCTCGTGAGCACTAACTCCAGCTAGAGTATGCGAGAGGCAACATGGCATCACTCTCACCCCCCATCCTATAATAATCCCGAATTCTGAGACCCCCAACAAGGGCCAAGATACAGTTATCAACACCTGCTTCACCCTTACCAGATACACATAGATGACAAAGGAAGACCAGAGCCAGAAGACAGGCTTTTTAGTCTGAGTAAGCTTAAAGAAGGCTTTCCCCAAAGTAGACTTTCGAACCGTGCCTCTGTCTGCATCTCTGAAGCTTTTCATATCCGAAGTCAATGTACCTTAAGATTCCCAAAGACGGGAGTGTGCAGTGGGAGCCGGGCAGTAGTGGAAGTGGGTGTGGGAAATATTTTAAATATCTAACTCTGGTCTCTGTGTGGGAAACAAGGGCAGGAGTGGAAGGTAGAGGCTAGTGCCAAAATCCAAGCTGGAGACATGGTGGCCTGGACCAGGCTTGGGCAGTGGAGGTGGGGCTTGCTGGGGACTGGATGTGGTGGGAGGGAAAGAGAAGAGCTGAGTATGAAGCATGGACTTCTGCCTGAGGACCTGCGTAGTAAGGATTCCATGTCCTGACCTGGGGAAGGTGGGGGAGGAGGAGTCTGGGGAGGGAAGGAGTTGATGAGTTCAAGAGGATCTCTCAGCAAGTGGAAGTGTCAAATAGGAAGTTGTATAAATGAGGCTGGTTTCAGGGGCCAGGCCTAGTAGATATGTCCAGTTTGGGAGTCACTGAATGAGGTTACCTTGGGGGAAAGATAGATGGAGATGCTATTACTTACCCACTTGCTTTTAAAAACATTCTTTATTGCATATCAAGTTCCTATGTTCATTAGATCTATTTCCAAACCCTTTGTTTTGTTTCATTTATTGACGCTCCTGTTTTCTTTAATGTTTTTATTTTTTTTAATTTTATTTTTTATTGAAGAGTAGTTGACTTACATTAGTTTTAGGTGTACAGCAAAGCAATTCAGTTTTACATATACATACATTTATGTATATTTTTCAGATTCTTTTTCATTATATGTTATTACAAGAAATTGAATGTAGTTCCTTGTGCTATACAGTAGGTCCTTGTTGTTTATCTATTTTATACTTATAATTCATTTTTATATTTATACTTATAATCAAAAGGAAGCCAGAGTCACAATACTTGTATTGGACAAAATTGACTTTAAAATAAAGACTATTACAAGAGACAGAGAAGGACACTACATGATGATCAAGGGATCAATCCACAAAGAAGATATAACATTGTAAATATATATAAACCCAACATAGGTGCATCTCAATATATAAGCAAATATTAACAGACATAAAAGGAGAAATGGACAGTAACACAATAATAATGGGGTAATTTAACACCCCACTCACATCAATGGACAGATCATCCAGACAGAAAATCAATAAGAAAACACAGGCCTTAAATGACACATTAGACCAGATGGACTTAACAGATATTTATAGAGCATCCCATCTGAAAGCAGCAGAATACACATTCTTCTCAAGTGCACGTGGAACATTCTCCAGGATAGATCACATGTTGGCCCACAAAGCAAGCCTTGGTAAATTTAAGAAAGTTGAAATCGTATCAAGCATCTTTTCTGACCACAACACTATGAGATTAGAAGTCAGCTACAAGGGGAAAAACTGCAAAGACCACAAACACATGGAGGCTAAACAATATGCTACTAAACAATTTGATCACTGAAGAAATTGAAGAGGAAATCAAAAAATACTTAGAAACAAATGAAAATGAAAACACAAAGATCCAAAACATCTGGGACTCAGCAAAAGCAGTTCTAAGAGGGAAGTTTATAATGATACAAGCTTACCTCAGGAAACAAGAAAAAGCTTAAAGAAACAAGGTAACCTGACACCTAAAGCAATTAGAGAAAGAAGAACAAACAAAACCCAAAGTTAGTGTTTATTTTTTATTTGTTTATTTTAATAGAAGTACTGAGGATTGAACCCAGGACCTCATGCATGTGCTCTACCACTGAGCTATACCCACCCTCCCTTATGCTCCTGTTTTTGCTCAGCACCATACTATTTAAAATACTGTTTCTTTATCATACATTCTGATGGTATTAACACATGCTTTAGGATTGGACCACCAGTTTTTAATTTAAAAAAAAAATCAGAAATTATTGCCTACTCACATTTCCAAATAAATTGTAGAAGTATTTTGTCAAGACTCAGATACTTGTTGAGATTTTCATTAAAATTATAAAATATTTAAATTTGTTTAAGGCAGTAGCTATCTTCACATTCTATTTAGTTTAGTCTTTTCATTCAGGAACCATGTTTAGTTTTTTAAAATACTTTTGAATTGGTAACACAGTACATAAACACAGTACAAAATTTCAAAAAGTTACAATTATATGGTGAAACGTAAATCTCTTGGCTGTTTCTCACAAAAGTAAACAAATCTTACCATACAGTCCAGCAGTCGCGCTCCGTTGTAGTTACCCAAAGATGCTGAAGTTTTATGTCTACAAAAAAACCTGCACATAAATGTTTATAGCAGCTTTATTCATAACTGCTGAATCTTAGGAGTGAACAAGATGTCCTTCAGTAACTGAATGGATAAATAAACTGGTATATCCAGACAGTGGAATATTATTCAGTGCTGAAAAGAAGTGAGCTATGAAGCCATGAAAAGACATGCAGGAATCTTAAATGCATATTACTAAGTGGAAAAAGCCCTGTGAAAATCTATATGCTGTACGATTTCAACTATATGATATTCCAGACAAAGCAAAACTATGGAGGCAATAAAATGATCAGTGATTGTCAGGGGTTGGGCTTGGGAGGGAAGAGGAGGGATGAATAGGTGGAGCACAGAGGATTTTTAGGGCAGTGAAGCTATTCTGTATGAGACCATGATGGTGGATACACGTCATCATACATCTGTCCAAACCCAGACAGTGTGCAACACCAAGAGTGAACCCAAGTGTAAACTATGGACTTTGGGTGATAATGATGTGTCAGTGTGGGTTCATCAATTGTAATTAATGCACCCCTCTGGTGGGGAAGGTTGGTAATGCGGCAAGCTATGCATTCATGAGTCAGGGCAGAGAAATTTCTGTACCATCCCCTCAATTTTGCTGTGAACCTTAAACTGCTCTTAAAAATTAGTCTTGATTTTTAAATTTAAATTTAAATTTTTTAAAAAAGTAAGCCTCTTTGTCTCTCTACTACTCCATATTCAGTTTCCTTTCACAGAGGCAATGACAATTGGCAGTTTCATGGCGCCCTCCTGGAGCCGGGTCCTGTGTCTGGAAGCATAAAGTAACGACTCTTCATATAAAATTGGAAGCAAGTTACACACACTGCTTGGCACCTTGCTTTGCTTTACAAAGTAATCATTTCATATCGGCACATACAGAGCTGCCTCAATCTTTTTAATAGTGTATAATAAATTGTTGTAAGATATACTTAACCAATCCTTTAATGTATTGAAGTTTTAGAAGCTCTAGTTGGTTCTTTTCATATCTACTATGTCACTTAAAAAAATAATTTCCTGTTCCTTGCAGATCTCTTTAAGTTTGTCTTTAATGTCTATAAACAGAGTGTGCATGTTTTTTATAGATTGGGTCTCATAATCCCAGTATCTGAAGTCTTTGTGCGACTGTTTGTGTTTCTGTGATTTTTGCTGAGTGTCTTCTACATGTTTTCCTTATTCCCTTGATGCATCATCTCTGGTGCAAGAAGGTCTGAGGTAAAAGAAGGAACGGTGAGCACAAAAGCTTTGTAACACGAAGGCAAATCCAAGTGAGCACTGACATGCAAAACAACAGTTAATAACTGTGGTGCATTTAAAAAATGTAGAATTGAGGTGGGGACGGTATAGTTCAGTGGTAGAGCATGTGCTTAGCATGTGTGAAGGCTGGGTTCAATCCTCAGTACTTCCATTAAAAAAATTTTTTTAAATAGATAAACCTAATTATCTCCCCCTCCACAAAACAACCAAAAAAAAAAAAAAAACCAGAGAATTAAAATACATGACTGCACACTGGCTTGTACATTTAAAAAATGGTTAAAAAGATAAACTTTATATTATGCATGTTTTATCACAAACACACACAAAATACATGACTATATTAGTATGTAGATCAAGAGGAGGAAGAGTTAGAGGTAC